TCCACCCGAAGGGCGCCTGCACGATCCGCTTCGAGCAGCCGGAATCCGCGGCCGAGTGTGTGCGCGCACTGAATGGCCGCTTTTTCGGCGGACGCACCGTCAAGGCGGTCCTCTTCAATGGGCGCCTCCGCCGGCTGGCCAAGTACCGCAGTGCCGCGGACCAGGACCCCGCGCCAGAGGAGCCCGAGACTGGCGGCGGGCCCGGCTCATCGCTGGCGGATCCCTTCGGCGGGTCGGACGACTCTGACGATGAGGATTACGCCCGGCACATGGCGGCGGTCATGGCAAGCAGCCGGAATGGTCCCGGCCGCGATCGGTCGACCGGCCACCGCCGGCAGGAGGACGAGGACGACGATTTCGATGACTTCTACCTGAACTTCGGCAAGAATCAGGCGGTGGATGTGTCAGATGATTAAGATCGGAAGAGCACACGTTGACGATGAGGATTACGCCCGGCACATGGCGGCGGTCATGGCAAGCAGCCGGAATGGTCCCGGCCGCGATCGGTCGACCGGCCACCGCCGGCAGGAGGACGAGGACGACGATTTCGATGACTTCTACCTGAACTTCGGCAAGAATCAGGCGGTGGATGTGTCAGATGATTAGCCTGGAATACCATTCTCTCGCCGTTATGGCTACAAAAGCGCCTCCCAGCCTTTGGGCTGGCCGGCCGGGGGGGCGGGGCGAGGCGGTGGTGCGTGTTTGTGCGGTGTGCGGCGGCTCGGCCAGGGCGGGTTGGGCGCATGCGGGGTCATTTACTGCCGGCCGCTGATGGCTCATCGGCCGGGTGGCACCGTGCGATCTGGGTGGCGGGGGTTGGGGCCATGCCCGGGGGGCTGGCCCGAGCGGGGCACGCGCCTGCCCCCGTGCATGTGTGTGGCGAGGCGGCCCCGGTCCCCCTCTGTGGCCCCCGTGCATCCGGCACGGCGAGGGGGCGTGTGGGCGCGGGCATCTGCCCGCCTGGCCGACCGTCGGCTCACCCGGGGTGGCCCCCTCCCCGGCGCCGCCCGCCGGCCCCCACCCCGGGCCTGCGCCCGGGCCTGCCGCTTCAGCATGCGGGGCCGTGGTGTCCCAGGCGCGGCGAGGGGCCCGGAGGAGGGGGCGCGCACGGGGCAGCTTCAATGGAGGGGGCGCCGCCTCGGCCATGCCATCCTCGCCCGGGCGGCACCGGAGGGCGGGGGCGCGGGGGCGCGGGGGCTTGCTTGCCTCGGGCCCGGTGCTATTCGTCGTCTGCCGGGATCAGGGGGGTAAGGGCGACCGAGCGCAGGTGGCCCGACTCCTTTCGTGCGGCCCTCTCAGGCGTCGGCCGTGGGGCAGGGGGCGAGGCAGGGAGCAAGGGCAGGGCGGCAAATGTGGGCAAGGGCGAGTACTGGCAGGCGGAGGTGTGGGCGCATTCGACCATCTGGGCGGGGAGTGACCCGAGGAGCCGCATGCACGGGTGCGCACGAGTGTCGGCCTGTTGGACCGCCGGAGGGACCGGACGAGCGGGTGTCCACGCCGAAGAACCGGCCCTCGGGCCGGGGGGGGGGGGGGGGG